TGTTTAATTTTTTCCAGATTTTACAAGCGCATTACCTTTGTAAAAATTACCATACTCGATCTAATTTCCTTATATCACTTTTTATAAATTTTTTTCGGTTTTTTATAGTTCTGATTTATTTATGCGAAAGATATTGTTCGAAGATCAAAATATCTGACGTGCAATTCATAACTTTCTCTCTCTTACATTAATTATTTAAAGTTAATTGATATAAATTTTAAAGGTGAAATTTGAAATGTCCAGTAAAGTATGTCAATTTTAGACGGATAAAATGAAGGAGGAACCGGATATAACAATTAATACATTGGCAATCACCGAAGTTGGTAAAAAACAACATGTAGTGAAACATTATAATTGGGAAAGTTGGCCTGAAAGGGGCTTTCCGGATCCGTCGCTCACTATTTTCAATTTGATATGCGCAATTCGAAATTCGAAGAAGCCGATTGTTGTACATTGTTCTGATGGTGTATTTCTACGATTTTTCTTCTAATTTGTTTAAGAAAAAATTTTTTCCCCTCATAATAAAGTATAATGTATTGATGAAATATACCGTAATATGAAAGTTTAAAAAATTTTTAACTTTTATGACTAGCAATAATACAATTAAAACCAATACCTACCATACTGTATGCAAATCAAATAGTAATATTATTTTGTAAAAATTAAGTAATTGAATAGGTGTTGGTCGAAGTGGCGTATTTGTTGCTATCGAGTACATACTGCAAAAACTGGTACGAGGTGAGAATTGCGCTGATCTCGTAGAAGTGATAAAGGAAATTCGAAATCAGCGCGCTATGGCTATAACTACTTCTCCTGTTTGTTTATAATTTTTAATGCCTAATGCAATTTTGAGATTAAAATTTGAAAAATATTGCAGATAAAATTCTCAAATATAATATTTATAGCATAAATAAATTAAAGCAAGAAAGGTTTGAAGTAATTTCATGCACAAAAAAATAAACAGGAAAAGAAAAATGTGATGATCGAGAAAAAAAGGAAAAATTAAATATTCTGATTTATTTATTTCTTTTTTGCGCAATCAAATCACTTCATTATTAATAATTTAATTAACAGTGTTATTTGATCGCTATGATAGTATGAATTTTATGATAATAATTTTCAGACAAAGTTTGAAAAACTTTATCAATAATACCAAAAAATTTTGTAAATTGCAATTTTATCGAATAGTTGGAATTTTATAATTACAAGTTACAGAAATACATTCTGCTCAATCGCTTGTTGCTTCAATTCCTTCAAGAACTTAATCTTGTTGACATGTCACAGCGTTTACTTGAATTTATCGATGATTACGATGCATACGCACGAAAACATAAAGTATAAATTGTAGATTTAAATTTTTAAATCTTATCTCTTTGGAAAACAACAATAATTCTTCCCGTAAATATCATAATTCATTGTTCAAATTTCATTTTAATATCAATCTATTGTACGAGAGTTTTAACAGTAATTAATTATTATATATTTTATGTATTTATCCAAGTATGTTGATGAATATCTAAAATTAATGCATACATTACATATTAATTATTTCAGAAGAAATGTAATTTTGTTTTTGTAGGATGAAAAATGAAAACGATTTTAACGTCGAATTGAAATTAGCAATCATCGTATATCACTATTAATTGTACATGCCAAATTATACATGATAAATCTGTCAGTGCTCATACCTTGTTTTAACACCGATATAAAAATTGAAATAAATTTGATTTCTCTAAATGAAATGAACCACGAAGTATGTGTGAAGAAAATGTATGGATATTACAAGTATTGAAATGTTTTATTAGTAGCTTCAATAGCACAAATTTAAAAGATTGAATAAATAAATGGCACGATTTTTTTTCTTTTTTCCTTTGCAACACATTTTGTGTATACGTGCAAAAAGGCAAGAAAAATTACGAACAAATGACAAATTTGCATATTTTAACAGATTTTTTTTTCCCTGTCAAGTGTATAAAATGATTTTAAAAGAGTAAAAGAATTAAATTTTGTTCTGTATTGAGCGGTTAACTTTTTAAGCAAAGATGGGTGATTCGACAATGAGCCATGGAATTGGATATATTCCACAGCCAGAAGGTGATCGTCGAATGTGTGCCCTTTGTAATACATCGTTAGGTGAAGAGGCTGTAATCGCATTAAATCGCCTCTGGCATCCCGATCATTTCCGTTGCCATGCCTGTAATGCACCGATTAAGCAAACATATCAGGTAATCTTTCTTTTTCCCCCTCCCCCCTGGATTGCTACAATAATTTTTAAACGAGTGAAATCTTTCATGAAACAGATAATCATCATCCTTTCCCAATACTATAATTTGTGATCCTTTTTTGAGACTGTAGTTTGAACGAGTTATCTTTACCGGAAGATATCATAATTTGAATTGGTGAACTTTTTCAAATAACATAAATTAAACGCGCAATCTTTTTTATTATTACTAATTAAATTTAGAATCATTAATAGTAATTATTAGCGTTTTGCATAATTTTCATTTCAGAGTAATTTCAAGTATATCATTAAAATATATTCTTTATCTCTTATATTTGGATAAAATAATAACTGCAATGCAATTAATAATACAATAAGCATGGGAGTGAAATAGCTATCCTCGAATTAAATTAATCACAATTTAACAATTCTAGTTTGAATTTGAAAATTCTAACTTTCCATACCATTAATAATTTAAATTAACCGTACATGAAAATGGTAAATTCTTTTCAGATTGCAGATGGTGCGCCATATTGTGTTCAATGTTTTTCTAAAAAATATAATCCAAAATGTCATGGTATGTTAAAAAAATTTTCCTTTTTTCAGTACCATTTTAAATCACTATTCATTAAATAATCATAAATAGGTAGTTAAAGTATAAAAAATGATGAAAAAAAAAGAAAAATGAAATTAATCATTAATTATTACCTGTTAGCGATTGTTATTTATTCAGCAATAGTTATTACAATCACCCTTAATTGCACAGTTTTATTTTTTTCTTAGTTTTCCTTTAACTTTAAAAATTATTATAAATTTTAATCCGACAGTTTCTTTCTTTAATTTTCCTTTAAATTTTAAAAGTGATAATTTTTATCAGCAGCAACATTTAGCATTTGATTAAAAGGAAACATTTGTTATTCAAATGAAGAATGCTAGGTTTCACTTTTTTTTTATGAAAACCTTTTTCTTTCTTTCTGAATTATTTTAAAATTATCTTAAAATCAGTGTCAGACTAACAGAGCAAATTTATTAGGTCGGTTAATTATGTTGTTAGCATGATAAAACATTTAAACTATGAAAAATTATAACTTTCAACGAAAAGATTTTTTTTTTGCATTTGCATATTTTGTTTGATCCAATATCACCAAAACCTTCCTTCCATTTATTTGCTACTTTTTAAATGTGCAAAAAGCATGACAATGAAAATGAATAAATTTGGAGTAATAAACAGTTTTCAATACAGGTTGTGGTGAGATACTTATCGATTCTTGCTTGATTGCACTTGATAAGCATTGGCATCCACGTTGTTTTACGTGCGCTGCATGTAAGCAACCGCTACCGAATGGTGAGCATTACATTATCGATGACTTGCCATACGACCGTGATTGTCATTGGGAGAAACGTCTCGAGAAACGCATTCGTATCACACAAGAAGGACGTACACGAATGGATCATTAAGAAAATGAATTTTATTCTTTTTTAGTTAATTTCTTTATAAAAGTTCAATATTATATCGATTTGTCTTTATGAAAAAGAATTCTTATCATTAAATCCAACCACTCGGAAATCTTTCCAATTACCAACCAAATCACGGCATCACTCTCCAAGTTTCTATCATTATTCTCAAATGCACCAAAATTTGACGATATCTCTGTTAAGAATTATTTGATATATCAAAGTTAAACATACAATTTTATAATTTTGAGTAAAATTTTGTAAAAATATACTTAATGCATAATAAATAAAAATGGCGAACTTTGGGATTGAAATATGGTAGAATGTAAAACTAGAGAGAAAATTTGATTCCCAAAACCTCTCAGAACTTTCATTTGGTAATTTAGTTTGGAAATAAAATATGATATTAATTGTGATAATATACCATTCTATCAAATCATGTTACGATTAAAGAATTGTAGTTAAGATCTCAAAGATTTTTAATGTTCTAAAAATAACACATATTCAATTTATACTTCCGAAACTTTGATTTGAATGGTTTTGTAATCCCTGTCCGGCACCTCATATAGAACTCTGTAAAAAAACGCTTTACTCTTTCCTTCGTTCATATCGCAAAACAAATGGACGAGAGCAATAATAGCAGTAAACTGATAAAAATTTGACGCAAAACAAAATATAGCTAAAGTGTGTGTGTTTGTGTGTGTGCGTGTGAGCCACGGTGATGTTGAATAAAACAATATGCTTCGTTTATAAAGTATGCGAAAGAACTGCAAAGACGGTAAATATAAAAAGAGAAAAGCATAGAATCGTTGTAAGGCAATATCTTACTATCTGTAATACAGAAAATTCAATTTGGAAATTGTTGATAAAATGAATAGAGTAAAAGGTAACTAAATTCCATATCCCTTTACTCAAAGTCAAGGTTAATTTTTACCTTTTTTACCTTTCTCATTGCTTTTCTAAACTAACTTTTCCGGCTTTTACCCCCACCCCCTAGCTGCTTTTCATTTTCCGAACAAAGTTAAAGTTCGATCTCAGTATTTCGTACCCATAATCTACTTCTTGTTGATGAACACAGAAAATAGATGGGGATAAAATACCGTGGCCCGCAGAAAAACTCGGATGAGCGTAATGAGCATAAATAATATATGCTATAAGAAGTTATGAAGACATTATATTAATATATAAATTCAAGTTATCAAATTAAAGCAGCTCGACTTAAAATTTTAAAGAAAGATAAATGCGTGATCCATAAAACAAATGAAAAGGGAAATCTACAAAATCCAATCAATAACATCAAAATCCCAATATACCAAATACTTCTATAAACCGACAATTCATAAGCTGTAACAAATTGTACCTAAAATCAACTACAATACATGAAAGCTATTTCCTTAATTCCTTCACTTCATTTAGAGAGTTTCATTCGCCTAATCAGGATAAACTAAAATTTCAAATAGCGTAGTATGCTCCATTTGCTTGATAGTATGTATTACTGCTTGATAACACATACCATCGAGTTTAAGTTCCCGTTATATCACATGGCTACATCAAAAAGCAGAACTTTCATCAAATACAGTGAGTATGCACATTTTTTCTAGGCAGTAGGCACATGCCCATACATTTGTGTGGTTAATAATATCATTCATTCATTCATTCATTCATAGGTATGGTTCAGCATTATGTTTAGATAGCTGTAACTCCTTTTAAACAATATATCGAAAAGCATCAGACAAGAATAAATGAGAGAAAAAGAGAAGGGAAAAATGACAAAAACATGAATGCATAAACTAGCGTTTTCCATCAGCTGTTATAGTATGATTCGAACCACTTGATGAAGAGGTTTGAGAACTTTCTGTTCCGACCGTCGTCGAAGTTGACCTAACATTCTGTACTGGTGGTGAATGAACAGAATGCAAATTCTGCAAACAGTGATCAAGAATTAATAATATAAACAATTGGTATAATAAAAAAGTTGACAAAATGTCGAAGCAAGATATAGCTTTGTAATTAATATACAACATAAAACATCACATTTCGCCTTATATTCTAGTATATACCTTCCATACCCCATTATCAGCGAAATACTGCGTTTCTCTCTGCCTCTACCCTTCTCAGGTAAAAGGCATAAATAAAAAATTAATAAAGATTCTGCATAAAAAAGAAAGCAGATTCCGCAGAGAAATTTACAATCATGCCGTTAAATTGTTAGAATTTTCAAAAATTCAACAAACCTGGCTAGTTATATGATGTACAAAATGTGAAGCATTAGCACCAGAAAATATTGAATGCTGTACAAGTGGCAAATTAAATGCCCCATTTCCAGCGCCACTTGATGTAGATGCAGTAGTTGCTATATTAAGTTGCAAAGGTGCTGGCTAAAATGGTGAATCGCATAGACCGTTATCAAAATCAATGAAATATGGAAAAAAGCAAAATATAGATAATCTCTTACTCTGGACAATAGAGTGTATTAACAAAATTTAATTGATAATTCGGTACCAATTAAAAGATATACTGAAGTGCTCATAATGCGTAGTGTAGTACACGTCTGAATTTTCAAATCATATAATAAAAATAATTTAATGTACGAAGAGTTCTTACTGTTTGAATTCAACTTCATTGAATCTGATTCCATCTTATATTGTTTTAAATAAAGTGTAAAATAAATAGGGGATTTTTTTATTCACCTGTGGGATAGGATCACTTGCAGCACTTGCCAAACTTGGATTTGATTTGCTTTTCACAATAGGACATGCAAAATCAACATGACGTGAACGTGCTTCTTCTTTTTCCCATGAACAATGAACAAATGGCCGTTGGACGTAATTGTAAATAACTAAAAACAAACATAAGATAACCATTTTTTATTTCAATATTGATAATTTAGATTCGACATTTCATATAGAAAAAATTCAAAATACCTTCGGCTTTATTAAAACGTCGCTTTATTTTCTCTTTGTGGGTCGGATATCCTTCCATACCAAGTCGAATCTTCTTGAGTCCACGTTCCTTCAAAACCTAAAAATATGCGAAATCGTTACCTTACCCACATAATCGAACAAATTTTGTGAAGAACTTCTGTATATTATAATAAAAACCTTTATTATCAAAAACAGTAAGAAGAACATTCAAAACAGAAATCAATAAAAAATATCAATAACGGATGAAGTGGAAAAGTGTCAAATTTGAGAACCAAATACAACTTATCATCTATTTTATTTACAAGTCCATCAACTTACTTGTTTTGCCACATCGCGATTTTCGGCATATTTGAAGAAACGATAAAGATGAGTACTATAAACGACCTGCGTCGTGTCCTCGCCCATCTGTGGAGGATAAAGTTCATCCCAATCAACTACATCATCATCCAATAGTACTACGATGTGACATTCACGATCTCCATGCTGAAGATTACTAAAATTTACTAAAATTTTGACAAAATCTGATTAGCAATCAGATTTTACAGTTAAGTGCTGTTGGGGATGATTTTGGTGGCGAGTTTTGAGCATGTATAATAATTGATTTTTATTCCCATTTTCCAAGTAGAACTTATCAACCGAATTTGTAAAGAGTATAATAAAATTTTCCAGTCTGAAGACAAAGCTGAATACACTTTTTTACCATTTTTTTTTATAAATGAGAACATTTACCTCAGTACTAACAATCATTTGTGGCAGAATAGTTTCTTCGAGAAAGGCAGTAAATTGTTGTCTAGCACCTTCATTGCTTAATTCGTGCAAAAATGAACGAAGATTATGGCACTGTACGGTACGGGCATTAAATGGTACCAAAAGATAATCACAAGCTTCACGTAGTTCCGAGACTGCCACTGACGGTGGACAGCGCATTTTCCCAACGTGATAGTATTCCTGAAAATCTTCTATCAACTAAAAGAGGAGGCAGTAATAAAATATTATTGAACTCATAATCGGACCATCCTATTCGAAAAAAAAAAAACAATATATTACAAAACGAACTAAAATTGCACGAAAGCAAGAAGCAGAAAGTCCATCAGCTACTTCATATTCGTTTTGATCATTAGGTCGTACAAGTTCAACACCATCTTGACGTTGCGCACGTACAGTGAACATTCGTCCAAGCATAGTATCTGGTTTGGCAATCAACACAGCCGGATCAACCACAAATCTTGTATTTTCGACGAGCAATACCACTTTATCTCCTGAATTCAAAATTAAGCTGTGATGAAAATTGAAATAAAATTTCACATATCAAAAGAACCATTTAATTATTCACTAAATTAAATTAAGTGTCAAATATCTTATTTCTGCCTGTGTCTGATTATTCCATTTGTTATTTCACTTGAAGTTTTCTTTCACAATAGATTTCTATTAAATGCGAAACTACCATTTTCTGCATGACTCATATCGACAGTATGTTTAGGACCCTGTGAAGATGAAGCTACTGCTGCCAGGAGTGATTCATGAGCAGCACTTCCCAGGGACATCGATCGCTGACTTCTGCATAAATCCTGAAATTTAACATCCATTTTGAAAAAACGATGAAGAAAACAATTTTATAAAACATAAATATCCAATCTCCAATCCTGCATATGAATGTTAGGACAGCATAGTCTTGCAATGAAAAATTCAATGCAGCGAAATTATTCCAATACAATCATCGCATAGAAGAGCGCATGAGAAATAAAAGCTCGCAGCTCTAGGCATCGCTCTCCAATGCTTTTATATTGCAGAAATTTTTTTTTTTTTTACACTTTCTCATCCAAAAAATACCTTTTTCGTCGTAGCTTGTTTTAATGCAGGCTGTAACGGTGGTGTGCTTTGGTAAACACGGACGCGTTCAGCGCCCGAACTACGTGATGGTGAGCCTGAGGGAGACGTGTTGGATGATGATGACGAACCAATGCTGCTACTATGCAAACACGATTTGCGACCTATTCCTTCTAGAAATACCACAGATGAAAAACAAAACCAGAAGAAACAACAGTAATGGACATAATATATGCAATATATCAGTAGCGATACATGTAAATTATGATAATTCAGTTGATAGCAAAAGAAATGTGAACGTAAGAAATAACGAAACATCTCATTAGCGATGAGAATAACGTCAATTAACTTTTTCTTGTCATCGCTGTTCCTCTGTCCGTCTCTTCTAATCCATATGCAGCAAATTGCTTCCTTATTAAAATACAGTTTGAAGTACTATAAACTTATTACTGGATCTATTGTAATTAAACAACCGAAGGATCCCTTTATTTCAATTTTTTAATGCTATATCAAAAATCTAATCGCATAAATCATAGTAAATTTTTCTATAATGTCAAACTTAGATTAAAAAATAATGGAAAATTTTTCACGCAATGGTTAAAATCACTTTTGGCATTAATTTCTTAATTATTTGAGGGATTTTTTGATGAAGCACCAGTCAAACAAATTTTAACATTTCTCGATTCATTTAAAAAATTAATTTGATCCTATGAAAATGTTAGCCATATTAAATAAACACATGATAATATAAAATGAACATGTAACGCAGAAATTGCAACATAAAATGCCGGAATCTAAGATCGAGAACCAACTGTAACGTCTCTCTAATAAGACTTTTACTTTTAAAGCTGATTCAAAAACTTTTTTTTAATTCTACCATAATCACATACGGGATTCTTGGCAATATGTCAGATTACATGAGCACTCTCTGGGACAAATAATTCTCCGTAAACTAACGAATTAATCGAATCAAATGTACGGCCCTCTTACGTTGAAACAGATGAATCATCCTACTGATAATTTTAATTCTTTGATACATTTCTTTCTTTCATCATAATACATATCTAGTCTAGAACTCTGGAAAATTAGCGGTACAAGAAATAACACATAATAAACAGAAATAATTCTAGCAAGTTTAGATGATCTTATCTTTTATTTCTTCTCTTTACATCTCCCCCTGACCACAACTGACCATTTCATTCAGATCACTCTTTTACTCTATCACATTTTCTACCACTGCCACTCTCACATTCTCTGAAAGCAAAAACGGCCATTGTCGCGTATGCGTCTGCAGTCGATAATGATTGATCGCAGTGCAACAATACTAATTCATTATACCTTTAAATGCCAAACAGTGTGAGAAAGTCCAAAAATAAAAATCTGAAATGAGTCATCTGCCATAATAAAGAACTGAAATTCTAATTGCAAGCAATATTATTCGATATAAACTCATATGTCCATGAATGAATGAGCTAAAGCATTATTTCAACCAGTTGTAAGAGAAATTACGAAGTTTGTAAGTGTAACAAAAAGAAACGCTATCAATCAACACACGAATTTTACCAAATTATAGCAGATTACTAATTTATTAATTAGTTCAGGGAACATATAAAAATACACGGTCACTACTCGTAGCAATGATAATCTCCCCTTGGAAAAAGTGAACTTTTTTCCAGAATACTTTCAATTCTTGCAACAACTAAAGCATAATCTAACACAATCTTTTCATTTCTCGACAAAAAGTATTATGCCTACACGATCAGTGGCTGAGATAGTGAATGAATGAAATAAATTATTTTACACGGCATTACAATCAGCTGCAATCATTAGAGCTCAGCAAGATTTTTATCATTTTTCAGTTTTGAATTCTAGTTTTGATCTTACTCAGCGTCAAAAAACTCAATGATTCATTAAAACTTTAAGAAAATTTTTATTGTCTTCATGGTCAAGTGCACCACATCTAATCAATTTCTTTACTAAAGCCTGTCAAAACCTGAATAAAAAAAAATTGCTGAATTGTAACAGTCTCATGATTTAAAATTACGATTAAACTTTTTTCATAATGAGAAATACTGAAAATATGAATTAGGAGAAATAAAGCATTGTAGCATTATAGAGCATTGTAGATACGCGGTTCGTTCCGCAATGCCTCACTGTGACTAAGCTAACTGCCTTAATGTTATCAAAACCGTAACAGTAAATCCAAAAGTTCATATTTGAGACGCAATTCACATTGCCTCAACTAAACATTCAAACAGATATGGCGTGAAGAACAACTTCAAGAATAACATATGTAACCTATGAACATTTCAGAAACTCGATTAATTTAAAACATGACCAACATATGAAATGAATAATAGCTGAGTAATTCAAAAAATTGCCTGGTACCTGCACTTGAAAGAAGTAGCCCTCTTGATGCACGGATTCTTGAGAAGGACCAAGTAACCTAAAATTGATAAAAACCAATTCACATTAATCTGACAAAACGGATGATTTGTTAGAATGTTACAAACAACCGAAATACGTCATCCGAATAAACAAAGTAACAAACAAACACCATTTATCCCTGTATATTTCTAAATGACAGTATAAAAGAACGGATTTGAAAATATACTAAACATTTCCCTTTTAGCTCTATAATTAAAATAAAACAATGTTGTAATAAACCTAAATGGTTCATTAGTTTGCAAAATAATCTGATTAATTGAAAACAGATGGAGTCATTTAAAGAGAAAAACTCTCATTATTCTCTCAATGTGATCTGCAAAGAAAAGAAAGCATGTAAATACCTGATTACGTTGTGGATTACGCGAATGACGTCGTTTCAAACAACTGCTCCGGCCACATACACTAGAGGATGCACCTTCTGATTCACGCTTGTCAAATCTTTCTGAAAAGTTCAAAGATCTGCATACTCAAGTTCAATTAAAAAAGACCGATACAATCACTGCATCACACCTAATCCATTTTTTCATCAAACGTTTTTGTGTTCGAGTTCATGGGATCATACCGCTTATTCATAATATATGATTGACAAAAAGTTGAATACGTGAAAACAATCTATCATATTTGACTACAAACTGTTTTACTTAACTGTAAAAAAGTAAGGGAGAGATACGTTAGTATTTAAATTTTCCTCCCCATTTTACAAAATACATGATCTTGGCATCTAATCGAACGATAAAATAAAAGGATGATGTGATGAATGATGATGCCAGTATTGAAAGATACTATTAGAGAACTTCTACTGAGCCGAAGACTTACAAAACTAAACAAGGCTAAATCGAAGAACACGCAAGATCCATGTATGCTTTTCAAGATGATCATCGAAAGTACGTAAAAATATCTCACTCTTCATGTTATCAAACTTTTTTCTATCTTCAAAAGAAGGAGCGTAAATAATTTCAGTTGCCTCAATCTTTCTTCCCTACAATTTATAGAAAAACGTCACCTGGCGAGCCGTCGGAATCAGATGTTGTAATGCATAAATCACGTCTGAACACGCTGCTCTTGCTGCTACTTACTTCATTCCTGCTCTCCTCCATAACAAACCACACGTAATGTCACGATCACGCATGCGCTCCAACTAAATATGCGCTTACGTCGTTATACCCGTTACTTCATATGATTGCACCTGTTTTAAACAAAAAAAATTAAACGCATTACAATTGGATATGAGAATAGAGTATGTTCAGAAAGAGAGAATTAGACATGTCATACAGTTTGAGAAGATAGAACTGAGAGGGAATAGATCGATGAGAAAAACAGAAAGCAAAAATATAATTTTTTAGAGATTGAGAAAATGCACAAATAATATGTATTGTGATTATAATTGAAGGAGGAAAGAACAGTAGTGAATTGGAGAAAGCACAGAGATCGATAAGATGAATGAAGGAGAAGAGATAAAGGTTATTGAGGATTGAGAGAGAAAGGCGAACGAGATTAATTATTTGCTGTAGCTTTAATTTGATGCATTGAGAAATAGCATTAATCGGGATGTCATATTTTCTCCCGAGATTTCCCCCCGTATTTGCAAAATTTTTGATTTGTTATTCAGTCTATTTTAATAGTATTTATATGTACTTTTCAATAATTATCAAAAGATAGTGCATACATTTGTTTATATTAGTGAAAGAAATTAAATGCATTATGCATAACAAAATGTTATTTAACAATTGACTGTGCTTTAAACATACGTGAACGTAAACGTGAATAGATAAAAGCGCATATGTTGCTCGCTCAAAATTAATGTATGGACGTATGTGTGTGTGTGTGTGTGTGTGTGTGTGTGTATCCGTCTGTCTCTCTGTCTGTCCGTCTATCTGTTTGCACTTTTGTATACATGAAGGAAGCAAAGAAATATTTTCGTTCAAACTGATGGAATTTTGAGGGAAACGATTGCAAATATTATTGAAATTTTACATTGAATTTTTTTCTTTGTTTGTTTTAGTTGACTTTTTTTTGAATATAATTTGTGCAATGCTTGTTGTATTATGTATGCATATATATGCTAACTATGAATTGCTCTATTTTATCCGAAGTTGAAATATTTTTAGTTATATATTTGCTAAAATATAACTAATTGATTTATATTATCAAAAGTTGATCTATTTAAAATCTTAAAATATTGAAGAGTAATTGAGTGAAGTTATAAAAGTTATTTGGAAGTTTTTATTAGCACAGTATATGCATGTGTTTTGTTGTAAATGGATAATATTGACATGGTTGATGATATTTTGCTCGCAGTTCTGTTCACGTCATATTGAATAATACTCGAGCCTGATCGTTATTTGATGGATATGTAACAGATAGTTTTAAAGGTCGCGTCAGCCGTCCTTCTTATTGATCAGTGGGAGGGTACAAGGTTGTGTGTGTCTCTCAGATTGCACGTTGCATGTGTGTGTGTGTCTCTCAGATTGCACGTTGCATGTGTATGTGTGTGTATGTGTATGTGTGTGTGTGTGTGTGTGTCTGTATGTTTAGAAGGGTAGAAGGTTGTGTGTGTCTCTCAGATTGCACGTTGCATGTGTGTGTGTGTCTCTCAGATTGCACGTTGCATGTGTATGTGTGTGTATGTGTATGTGTGTGTGTGTGTGT